GAACCGGTGAAGATTGTGGGTCAACAGGTAAAGAAACTGAGGAACAAGGAGATTCCTATGGTAAAAGTCCTTTGGAGGAGTGATCGAGTCGAAGAAGAAACCTGGGAGACTGAGGTCTCAATGAGGGAGCAGTACCCTTTCCTTTTCGATTAGACACGCGGATTTCGGGGACGAAATCCCAAATAAGGGGGGTGAACTTGTAACACCGTCCCCAAATGTATTTATCTTTAAGCGAATAATTTATTGAACCCTATGAAATTTTTGTGAATTTACGAGGTTGTGAATTTGTATTAATTTTTTTTCGCGTGAATAGTAAAATGCACGTGGGGCCCAAATCGGGAGTGGGGACCGCCCGATATTATCGGGACCACATATTATATTCATCTGGGTCTAAAAAATATTTATAGATGGTGGATACTTCATTTGGGCCATGGAAAGGCCCAGGGTTGACCGATTGGTCAATGGAGGCCCAAATACCGGTATCGATAAATTTATCAGATAAAAGCCCGAAATTGGATTTTGGAGACTTATAAATTAAATTTGGGGAATGCATATTCATTCTAAATGGTATGATGATTAAGAACACGTAATATAATTATTTAACCCGATAAAGTAAAATATATCTAAAACAGTCCGGAAAATACAACTTTCGGGGCAAATTGTACACTTTGGGACAAATTAGGATGACCTCCCACATAGGTGGGGGCCACCCCACGAATTTGTCAACCCTTGGGGGCTGGATGAGTGCTAAGTTGGCTGAATAACAATTGATAGGATGGGGGAGACACCCTTGACACTTAGTATACCCCATTCCTTCACTCATTTGTCTAAATGAGACAAAAACCACCCCTCTCACCTCACCACCTCCACCCACTCGTAGCAGCACCCAAGGATAGCAAGGAGGATCTCTGAAATTCACCATTTTCACACCCAAATTCGAGCTCAAGGTGGAGGATCCAAGGAGGAGTGTTTGGAGAAGGAAAAAGGTGTAGGAAAGTGTGGAAATTGAGGTAATCACCTTGCCATAGCTTTCCCTTTATTTTTCTTCTACCATGAGGAATATTTATTATATGAAGAACCCTTGGGATGGTTCTCCATGTTCTAAGTATGGATGTATGGGTTGGAAAGTGGTTCTATGTCCAATAACGGACTTAGAAGCCAAATCGACCGGTTTGCCGGAAAATAACCTTTTATAGGTTATTTGTGTTGATATGGGTTTTGTGATGATAAAACCTTGTTAGGAACTTGATTTAAAGTATTTTTGAGCTTCTCCGGAGTTTCGTCGGAGTTGGTCAAAGTTCGCCGGAGTTGGTCAAAGTTCGCCGGAGTTAATCAAAGTTCGCCGAAATTAGTCAAAGTTCAATCGAGAAGCATAGAACGCGCTTAAGCTTAATTAAGGTGAGGATGACCGACTATGTTGCTTATAATCTTTGGGTTAATTTCATGGGATTTCCTAAGTGAATACAAATGTGATGTGCATGGGTTTTTAATGGTTAATAATGCCTAAATAAAACTACTATTGATTATAAGTATAGTATGCATGATATACAAATTTGTGAATAAATTGTGTATGTTTAGATGTTATGAATATGAGTGTATGATGGTTGTACCAACCATGAATTTTATTTGAGATAGTACTCTTTGATACCATGAGGAGAAGTCATGAAGGTATAAAAATGATACTTGATATTAAGGCCAATCATGCATGAAGGAAGAATTATATTGGAATAAATAAATAACAAGCATTGAAACATTAGTTGGAAATGTTAGTTGAGAAAGGGATGAATTAGATCCTAAGAATTTGAATTATAAAGAATCGGTGATTATGAGCCGGGCTCGAGACCGATGTAGATAACGGTGATTATGAGCTGGGCTCTAGACCGTAGTAGATGACGGTGATTATGAGCTGGGCTCTAGACCGTGGTAGATGACGGTGATTATGAGCGGGGCTCTAGACTGTAGTAGATAACGGTGATTATGAGCTGGGCTCTAGACCGTAGTAAATAATGATGAATTGATACTAAATGAACGGATTAACTACAATGTAATAATGCTCTAGATTGGGGGCCTCAGAGATTTAAACTTCGATTATACTTAGTATAGTTGTCATTGTACTTGTCAAATGCTTCCAAGTACTGACCTCCCCTTCACGGGGGAGGCCACCTCACAGTTTCAGGTAGAACTTGAAGGTTGCTACTACCAGCCGCTGTTTCGGGAAGTTTCTGAGAAGAAGACTTGGTTCGTGCTTCTTCCGTTCTTGTTTTGAAAACAATATGAATAATGCTCATGGATATTATTTTCTGAATATACATTTCGGGGGTTTGTATACCCATGTTTGCCAAGTGTGGCTTGAACACTTGTAATGTTGTTTCCGCTGTTTTAAATGAATGATTTACATTATGTTTGTTTATGGATGTACTATGTGTGAATGATATTCATGACGCCTTGTATAGTATGGATGAGTTGGACTGCGGTTGGCTATTCGTACTGTACGGCGGGTTGTTGACGAGTCCGGCTAGATCCGGGGCGTGACAAATCACCAAGGGTCTGTAGCCGAGCCCAAGAAGGCCGAGCTGAGACGAATGATGAGGGGTTCTGGAGGATGAACGGGATAACAACTTTGTACAAAGAAAAGAATGCTCCTTTATATATCGGCACCGACGGCCAAAAAAGTATAATGAATGTTTCAACGTTACAACAAAGGAACAATGAAAAGGAGAAATACATCAGATACGGTCTTCGCCTCGACAACATCATGCGCCAAGGGCCAAACATCATGCGCCCAAGGCCAAGGGCCGAGCACCCATGCCAAAGGTCGGGGGCCGAGCATCATGCGCAGAAGGCTGGGGGCTGAGCATCATGCGCGGAAGGCCGGGGGTCGAGCATCATGAGCCGAGGGCCGAGCATCCGCACCGAAGGCTGAGGGCCGAGCATCATGCGCCGAAGGCCGAGGGCCGAGCATCATGCGCCAAAGGCCGAGGGCCGATCATCATGCGCCGAAGGCCGAGGGCCGAGCATCATTTGTCCATTGTTTAATGCGAATATTATAAAAGTCAAAGTAGAGTGTGTAATTAGTTTAGTATGAGGGCTTATTTGGTAGTTTACATGTTAAATTTTTGCATGCGGAATAATGGAATGCAATGTTTAGGGAAAAAATCACTTTGCATGTAAATAGATTACATTGTTTGGCCAAATGTGTAATTTATTTTTAAGTTGTAGTGTTTTATAAAAAGCGTCTAAATTATTTTACCACCCCTATGTAAAATACTTTACATGCAATGGTACAATGGGGAATATTTTTAAAGTGTTCTACAATTTAATTTAAATTAAATAATCAAGCGAAATGGTGTGAATCTTTTATGCCGTTTCACTTCGAATGCAAAGTAATTACACACTCTATTTTATTTTTTACATTATTCACACATTCTACTTTGACTACATCTTATTTACTAATGCAATAAATTATTGTTATATATGAAATATAAAACTCGTCTCATATTAAAATCTTAAAATATGTCATTATAATTTTTGCTAATAAGCAAGTAAAAAATTTAATGGTGAAAGTCATGTGTTGACAAATATCATACTCCGTATTAAATGTGCTGCAACCACATAGAACAAGTAGAGGTAATATTATTTCTTTACACATTCAGCATCCTTATAAGTGTTTAGAGTATTTTAAATTATGTACTTAACGTCTTAAGCGTACATTTTATGTGAGAAGAACCATATGATATTGGTGGTTACATAACCTTTTATATAAAGTTAGCGTAATTACATATGTCTTTGCGGTGTTTACTTCACACTCCTCTAAATTTTGGGGTAATTAATTTACTTTTAATTTTATAAGAAATTATGACAAATTTATTCCTAAAATACTGAGTGGGTAAAAATTCGAAAATTTTACTATTATTTCAAGATTTTTTTCTTTTGCAACAATAAATAAGTGAAAGAATGGATAAATGTGAAAGATAAAATATAAAGAATTAGTGGTGTAAAACTAAGGAAAACATTTACGGAGTTTATTTTTGGGGAAAAGGAAAAAGGAAATGTAAGCTACAGAATGAGACAAACTGACAGAGGAAGTAATAATTCAAGAAAAAATCATTTCAAATCTACGCACTCCCTCCGGTCCTAAATTAACTTTACACTTTCCATTTTGGATCGTCCCATATTAAACTTTACACTTCCTTATTTGCCTTATTTGACAAACAAATAGGCGTGGACTCGGGCCGGGTCGGGCCGCCGGTTTGTATGACATGGGTCCGGGACCGGCCCGAGGGTTGGACGGGTCCGGTTCGGGCCGGGCCACCCGCCCGGGTCACGGGTCAGGTCCGGTTCGGGCCGGGCCGGTTAAAGTTTTTTTTTTATAATTTATATTTTATAGTTTATAGTTTTATACGAGTATTAATAACAAACTTCAAGTGCATTTATTTGAAATGAAATAGGAACTACATTTGAAAATTAAAACAAACTTTAAGAGACAAACATTTTGAAAATTGTAATCAATCGAAACTTCCCGCACCTCCCGATCCTTTGGCTTTGTCACATGACTTCATATGCTTGATTGTCATCCCGTATCCGCCTGAAACCCCCATGCTGCATTTTTTCTCGCACCATTTGCAAGTTTCGTACCACATCCCGGTCTTCGGGTCCTTCTGCTTATCAAAATTATACCGTATAATGACATCTTGATTTTCCATCTTAACTTCTTAAGTATAAACTATAAAGTAGATATATAAATAATAAATATAATATATTGGAGAATTAGAGAGTAGAGAATTAAGAATAGGATTTAGGAAAAATTGGAGAAGAGATGAAAAAATGTTTACGATTAGGAGTATTTATAGGTTTTTTTACCCCCCACCACAACCCCCCACCACCAAACCCCCGGACCCGCCCAAGACCCACCCAACGGCTATGTAGCCGTTTGGGTTGTCCCCAGCCCACCCATAACGGCTAGTAGCCATTTTAAAAAAAAATTAAATATGACCGTTGGACCCGGACTCGAGCCCGACCCGGCCGGGCCGGGTCGCATTTTTCCGGAACCGTGCCCGCCCCGCCCATTCCCACCGGTTCGGGTCTACACCCGGTCCCGGACTGCCCAACCGGGCCGGTCCCGGGCCCGCACAGTACCAGGCTGGGTCACGGACCGGGTGGCCCAAACCGAATCCACCCCTAAAACAAATCTATACCAAACAGTGTAAAACAGTATCAAACAGTGTACTCTACAGTAAAATCAAATTTATTTCCTTAATATGTGTGAAGTCAAAGTGTAAACTTATTAGGCGTCTGAAGAGAAACAAGATAGATTTCTGTATGTGTGTATCCTATTAACCCAGATAATCTTATTGTGACGTCCAGAAACTTTTGAAGCATTGGAACACAATGAATAGAAACAAGAAAGATTTCTGTACAACGGAATCAATCCAAGAATCAGTCCTAACCCCCCGAAAAAAGAGACAAAAATCTCATTTCCTACATAAATAAATAATAAAACAGAAATTGTATACACTTTCATGCTTCCTATGCATGCTTACAGAACCAATGCTCCAACTAACCATAGGATTCCGTTTGCAGAGAGATTCAGATCGGTTTGGTATTCAGGATAAGAGAGCTAGGAAAGCAATGGTGAGTGGCTACTACGTCAAACGGCTTTGGGGGGAAACTTCTAGAGAATGTGTGACGGGACCGGACTCCTGGGCAAGAGCTTCAAGAACATTAATGACCTCTGCCGTGTCGTCGACATAATACTTAGCTTTGCTTGGTTTCTGGCCAACTGTGCACGCATAGACAGAGGAATTGAAGGAGAGAATGCCGCCTTCCAGGGCAGCCCCTATCGCCTCAAACATGTCCTCATCTGACCTGTCATCCCCTACGCACAGCACGAAATCAGCCTTCTGCTCAGCCTCAGCCATACATCTGAATATCTTCTCTGCAACAAGACCTTTACTCACACCCTGTGATTGAGGACATAACAGGGTAGTCAAGAAATAAAGCATATCTGATGGTTTGTATTCAAAAAAAATGGTAGTTTCTTTATGTAGTCTAAATTGAAGGTTCCATTTTTTTGTGAGAATAAAAACAACACTGTTAAATGAGTGAGCATCCACAGTGGAGATGGAGGGCCCGGGTCACTTCAAAATTTAATGGGCCCACTACGAAGTGACATGGAACGCCCATGTAGCCAACTCGACCTTGGAGTTCCCTGAGCAATCATTAATACATAATATAGGGGACAGTTTTCAAGCTCTGACCGGCAATGACTAGCTATGTTTGACTATTTGCATCAATCTTCCAACCTGAGGAATATACATAATTCTTTACAAAATAATGTCTTCCTGATATGAATCTTACAAATTATTTTTGGAATGGTACTCATGAGAGGAATTTCAAAATACTATGAACATTAAAATGTTTTATTACAGTAGTACCCCCTACAATTAAAATCGCTCAGACATTTAATCGTGAGCACTGAGGATTACATTTTAGATTGTAGCATTAGAATATTTAAATTACTAATCCCTTCCCGGATGCAGCTACCCCTTTAGATTTATAAAATTTAGTGAAGTTCACAGCTACCCCTTTAGATCTATAAGGGAACTGCGGTTAGACGAATGAGGGGGGAAATTGGAGTAAGTAAGAAGGTACCTGAGGTTTGACTTCAACAATGAATTGCCCACTCTTAACTTCAACAGGTTCATTTGCAAGAACACTTTCAAGATGGTCTAACATCTCCTTTGCTTGGCTGGACCCAAAACCAAGATCTGCATCACTGTAATGCCAAACCAGAGCACTCTCTTTCGTCTCAATTGAAGAACCATCGGTAGATTCCGTATATAATTTCATTACAGGTTCTGCCATCTGTTTCCACCCATAATCTGTGCTTAGACCACAAGTTTCCCACCCTTCATCACCTGTCCACCTGTCAAATTCAACTCTATTTTGGTAAAAAGCATAATACATTTTACATTTTAGTTTGTTATTGAAAAAGAAGTATATTTAGACTTCCTTATTCTTTACATGAAATAAATAAATAAATAAGCTGAAACATATTGTTGGCTGATTTTTTGCTCTCACATATATGCTGAAAATTGGTTTTTATTTAGATTGAACTTGTATTTTATTTTCCCTCACCTTTCATTCCTTCAAATTTTCATCTTCATATTCATTATTTCTACACCTAGCATTTTCAAGGTTCCAAACATACCCTTTCGGGGTTTTATTTCTCCTCAAGTAAACCACAATTTCTTTTCCACCCCTACTTCTATCTTCCCTACTTTCCCCCCAAAATTCACCTGGATCAAATGGTTAGTTTGATTACTTATTTGGTAACACAAATGAATGTCACTCAATACTAAACAAAATAAGTAGCCTTTTGCTTTCAACCAAATGATGTTTTACCAAATGGCTCTTAATGATTGTTTTGAGTATCAAGTGGCAGCTATGAATAACACTACAAAAAGTATTAGAAAAACTCTCTCCCGCATTGCTTAAATGGTATTTAAAAAATAAGAATAAAATCTTGCAATGAAACAGCACTTTACACGCCTTTACCTCAAAAAGTATCCATGCTCTGCGGCAATGCCCAGTTTCTTGCAATCTGAAAACCAGTGCCCCAAACTATCCCTTCCTCTTCCACTCACAAGGAACACAGTATTCTTAGCATCTTCGCACAATGCACTAATCACTGATATGATTTGTTGACTAGGTATTTTATTGATGGTGGTTTGAGGCATGACCGTCCCATCATAGTCCAACAAAATAGCTCTGTTTTTTGCTCTCGAGTAAGAGGAAGCAATCGCGTCAACTGACAGCTTCCTGAAATTTGGGTCGAGCGCCACCACCCTAAACCCAAAACTCAGACCGATCCCCCAACACCGTTGCTTAAAATGGTCTTTGCAACTCCTCTCCAGATCCTGGAAGAAGCTTCTAGACCAATACGCCACATCGTGCGTGCTGACGTACTTGTAATGCTTCTCATGACGCAGCTGCTTCTCCACGTCGGTCATTGAGATCGCATCGTTCAACGCTTCGGCTGTAGCTTCGACATTCCATGGGTTGACCCGCAATGCCCCACTAAGGGACGGCGAACACCCAATGAACTCGGACACCACTAACATACTCTTCTTTGGGGCTCCTCCTTGTCTACAGACAATGTATTCGTACGGAGTGAGATTCAAACCGTCCCTCACGGCCGTCACCACCACACACTCCGCAATGGTATAGTAGGCGACCCGTTCACTAAGAGAAACAGACCGGTCTACGAATACAACCGGTTGATACCTGGGCTGGCTAAACCTCTCGTTGATTCTTTTCACGCTTGTTTTTATTTCTTCTTGTATTTCCTCAAGATCCTTCCCCTTCCCCCGGGCGGGGTTGACAATTTGTACTAAAACCGCTCTTCCCTGCCACTTTGGGTGCTGCAATAGCATCTGTTCCATTGCCAAAAGTTTCAGATCGATCCCTTTAAAAATATCCATATCATCGACACCCAGAATGACCGTCTTACCCTCAAACTGTTGTTTCAACTCCTCTACCCTCCATTCTTTATCCGGGAGCTGTAACACCGATTCAAACTGACCCATGTGGATGCCCACAGGCATGATTTTGATCCCGATGGTCCGGCCGTAGTACTCTAACCCGATATACCCTCGTTTGGACTGATACTCCAAACCCAACATCCGGCTGCAACAAGAGAGGAAGTGGCGGGCGTAGTCAAATGTATGGAAGCCGATCAGATCAGAGTTCAACAGCGCTTTCAGAATCTCCTCCCGGACAGGGAGTGTCCGGTAAATCTCTGATGACGGGAACGGGCTGTGCAGGAAAAACCCCATCCTTAACCGGTTAAAACGCCTACGCAGTATGGTTGGCAAAACCATGAGATGGTAGTCGTGGATCCAAATGTAGTCGTCCTCGGGGTTAATTACCTCTATGACCTTTTGAGAGAAGATCTTATTAGCCGCTACATAGGCCTCCCACCATGACCGATCGAACCGACCGCCGTGGCTGGCAGAGAAAGGGAGCATGTAATGGAAGTGGGGCCACAAATGTTGTTTGCAGAACCCGTGGTAGTACTTGCTTAAAATGTCTGGCGGGAGAAAAGCCGGGACGCATTTGAACCTGTCTAGGAGCAACTGAGAAACGTCATCTTGCTCATTTGAATCAACTTCGACCCTTAAAGAACCCACATATATAACCTCCATTTCATCCGGTAACCCGTCTTTCATGTGCAGCAGTAAAGAATCATCATCCCAACTAAAACTCCACCCCTTATTATCCGGCCTGCGTTTGGCTTTTACAGGGAGCTGATTGGCTACAATTATCACACGCTCAACAACCAGAGATGAAGGAGCATCTGAAGCAACACTACTGGCTTGATCATCATCCAGCTCAGAAATCACTCCGGCCACCGTCATTACCCTGGGAAGGCGTCTCTTTTCTTTCCCCATAGCAGGAAAATTCCCGGAGGCTAGATCTAATAAGTTGGTATACGATTTGGACATCATCTTGACCAGAGTTTTATTATTAAGATGAAGACGATTCAAGCTCCACAAAATAAAAAAAAATACGGCTTCTTCTATGTAGCAAAGTAAAAAGAGCAGTCAAACCAAGGTCAACCAAATCCAATGAGCTGTTTGTTTGCAGTAAAATCAAGAACAGTTAGACAAAGATCTGAAACAAAGAACAGAGCAAGAGAGGAACCCACTAGATCCTAGAAATGAAACAGAAACCCATTTGGTGATATATAGTAAAGATTCAATCTTTATATATAACTGGATTTCAGATATTACAGTGTTATCGCTAGCAGCAAAGAAGTGGGTAGTTAACAACTGAATCATCAAATAAACAAGAACAAATGCTAAAACAAGACAAACCAAATCTGAAGCCAAAACAAACCTTGTCAATATTATACGAACCGTTTTTTGTCAAGATAACAAAAGCATTCTCCTCTACAGTCCAGTCAGACCGAAATATCTAGGGCTTCCCTCTCTCTCTCACTACAAGTCTTCATCCTTGTCTTGCTGTCAATGCTCTGAAAATCCAACAATTTTTACATAGAAAACTACGGAAGAGAAAAAACATTGTTCCGTAGTCCGTATGTGATTTATTATTATTTTGAGAAAAAAGTAAAATGAAACCGGATAAGGTCGGGCAGCAGACACGTAAGTGGTGTGCCAACTGGATCACACGTGGTTTTTACTGTCACGCGTTGTTTTCTACCGTACTTGCGCACACCTCCCCATATACCTTTCTTAGTAGGTGTTTGATAGTATCGTGGTATGATCGTATCTTTATCGATCTGTCTCATTAAGATTGTCTCATATCAAATTTGGTAAAGTTTGTGTGACTCTTAATTAATTTGTATCTTACTTTATTTTTACTTTATTAATTCAATATCAAACACATAAACCACTTTTTATTAATTTGTGTGTCACTCTCTCTTGTCTCATTGTTAATGGGACGGAGGGAGTATAATAAAAAAAGGATGAGCCCCCATCACTTAGGGCATCCAACACCGACTGGACAGCTAAATGGAAGGGTGTAAATTGGACTTTAATCACAAGCTGACTCATAGAGAGTGAGGCTCTGGTCTTAGTACTTGCAGAGGCCCTATGGCAGAAAGTTTAGTTTATTCTAATTAAGTTATAGAGGAGTGTTACTTGTACACATTTTTTGTACGCATTTGTTGTACGAACCTCCTAGATGGTTGTGTACACAGCTAGTTCATTCAGAAGCTTTTGAGTTACAAAGACAACTATGCAGTGTGTACAACAAATGTGTACAAATTATATGTACAAATGGCTTTTTTCCCGGCCAAAAACCAGTTCATGATCACCATCGACGCTATTCGCCAACGCCGATGTCTGATAACATTGTTTGCTTCCTCCATTGAAGCCATCCACCCTCTGACCCTTTTTGTTCGATGCTTCAATCGAGGTCTCGGTGTACACAAAATGTATACACCTTTGACACACATAAGAGAAGAGCTTGCCAGGAAACGCTATCGAAGTGCATTACGACCCCATACATATTTGAGAAATTTGAGTTCAGATTCTAATAGGTAAGTTGATCTCTACCACCTGTACATGTTTGTTCAATCAAAAAAAGAATGGAGTCTGATTGATTTTTAATGGACGATTTTATTATTTGCTAACATAGCTTGGTGAATTATTTGATCAGGTTTTTATTTGTTGTATTGAGTTGTGTTTAATACCTGACATAGTCAAGATTCTGTCAGTTATTTTATTTTAGATTTTATTTGACGAGTTGTTTTATTTCTTGTATGGAGTTGTGTTCTTTATCAAACGCCATCATAAAAAAAATTAATATTTAAAGTGAAAGATTAGGTGATATGTATTCGGGAACAAGTTCTCATAGAGTTATTGAGTATAAACTTTTAGAGAGTCTGATATATTAAGTGGGTCGCTCCCCATAGTTGTTGTATTAGCGTCATTGAGTACATATCACATGCCCAGAGTTAAAAATAACCACACAGAATTTTACATGAAGTTTAATGAGATCTCTTTGAGAAAGTTTTACAGAAAACTTTTGAGAAAGTATTTTAAGATCTCTTTAGAAGATATTTCACAGTCATATTAGCAAGAAATTTTGAGATCTCTTCAGCAATTTAGAGAACTTATTTTAAAAAAGTATTTTCATTAAAGATCTCTTTCGGAATCTATTTAAGAACTTATTCACATGAGTTATTTATTAAGTGCATGTGTATAGCCTAAATTTATCTATTGATAAATTAGTGACTTTCTAAGCGTAAAGCTTATCAGTTTTCTTCTTTTGCATGTACAGATAAAAGGAGGCCAAGATCTAGGAAGATGATGAGGGAGTACAACGCGTGCCAAAATGTGTTAATGAGGATGACCTTGAGGGCTTCTAGCTATTAATTTATTTAAGTATTTCAGTTGTTATAATAAAGTGATTGCTACTATTTAATTTGATTTGGAGTATTTATTTTGATTGTTTGAAGTTTGAGTAAATTTTGGTTATCACATTTGTTGGTGATAATAAGATTTTATTAAGTTTTTATTTGGAGTTATAATTTAGTCAACATTGAGGATTTATACGGGTCATTTTTTAAACAAACAGCCGTTATATTGTAGTCTATTTTATAAGTAGTAAGTTAGTGTAACGTTTCCTTTAACCCTGTGAGGAATGTTACACCTTTTATAAAGTCCCCCACTTTTTACCCCTCCCTCTGTCGCCTCTCTCTCCATACAAGAATCCCCCCACTCTGTCTTCTTCTTTCTTTCTTTTTACCCCATTTTCATCACCTTCACTTCTACCATCATCATCTTCATCTTCCTCACTCTATCTCCATCTTCCACTTCACCATATTCATCCACCCCGTCTTCACCATATTCTATGTTCATCACCATCATCATTTTTACCATCATCATCATCTAGGATTGAATAAAAATGAAGTTCGAGAGTCGATGTAAAGAAGTCTACATAAAGACATTGATTTTTTACAATGTTTGTGTTCCTAGACAAAATTTCTTAAGCATGGACAGAACTGTACAAATTGTCTTTGCACAACAACTAAAGTCTGTGTTCAGATATTAGTTTCTATGAAACCAAACTATGACATTTCTATAACAAGCACGAAAACCAATATCTATGCACATGCATTAATTGTCTGTATACAGACAATCGTATATTTTGTCTATGCGCATAGATATGATTGTTAAGCACATGCGGAAACAAATTGTCTCTGTATAGACAACTAATGTATGTGCACATGCATTGGTTTACGTGTTGTGCTGTAGAAATGCGAGAGTTTGATTGAATGGAAACCAATGTCTGCACACAGACATTAGCTGTCCATATCACAGACAATTTGTATATTTTTTGTTTGTGCTTGATAATTTTGTCTTGGCACACAGGCACTATGAAAAAGTAGTGTCTATATATATATATATATATATATATATATATATATATATATATATATATATATATATATATTTGAAGTTTATTCCTTCAACCTGTAGGCCCAACACACGACCCAAGGGTTTCGAATGGAAAAAGTATCGAAGTAGATGTAGAAACAAGCGAGAAGGGCCCAATAAGATTTCTTAATACACTGAAAGGGTTACAAAGCCGAGAGGCCGTTCGTACAGAGCTATGCTATGAGCTGATATAATTGCTAGAATGCTAGAATGCAAGGTTGTCAACCCTTTACAATAAAATAAATACTACTATTTATACCGCCAATGGGTAGTTAGATGCGTTGACGTGGCGGGATGTGGATGGCTTGATCCCAACCACCCAATCTTCTACATTAAATGCGCTTCCCGCCAGGATCTTGACTTCCCGCCAAGGGGTGGGGACGTTCGTCCCCATGAGCTTGCCTCCTGTTTCCTGCTGGGCCCAAAGTCCTGTGAGACGTGCGTCAGCCGCTGCCCCCTGGGTCAAAGCACTCGCCTATGCTAGAATATGGACGTCTCCTGGGCCTTAGGGTTGAGGTCTGGCCTTGTTGAAGACAAACCTCATCAGGATAAGTGGAAAGGTAACTCGTTATCTCGTGCCTTCTGGGGACGTTCGTAGGGCGGGCCTTAAGGGTTTTATGGGCCAACCCCCGTTGGGCCATTAACCCAACACATACATACCTACATACATACATACATACATACATACATACATTTTTTGTCTGTTGTGAAGTTTTACAAAATGTTACAGACAAATTATATCATTATTCAACATGACACAAACTATATATTTTATAAACCACATAGACAAAAAATTCATCGAACGTTCATCTCTAATTTTCCGACAACTTTTTGATGACTCTCAAACTTCTTTTTCTATCCTACAAGATGATAATAATAAAAATGATGAGGTGATGAATATGATGAGGTGATGAATATGGTGAGGTAGATGGAAGTGAAAGATTATAGAGATTGTCAAGATGGAGATATAGTGAGTAAGATGGAGATGGTGAATATGGTGGGTGTAAAAGTGATGGAAATGGAAGAAAAAAGAAATTAGAAGAGGGAGTGGGAGGAGAAAACCGTGTGGATTGAAAGGGAGAGGGTAGAGAAGGAAATGTGTGGATTGAATGGAGTAAAATATAAAATTAAAATCATAAAAATATAACATATCTATTGATGGAGTATATGGGTCCAGACCCCATGGTCCACATACTCAGAAGACTAAGAGTAGCACAGTTGTCATCCAGTGGACCCTCCTTCGGCCAGATGGCACCCCATCGGCCAAAGAAGAGTCAATCCAGAATACGCTCTAGAAGCCAAGAAGAAGACTTGTCCCCCATCGCCAGTGCCCCCATCGGCCGGTGCCTCCCTCGGCTGGTGCCTCCCTCGGCTAGAAGGAACTCACAGAACTAGACTTCTAATGTAATCAGCCCAATAGAGGCTTTATATTGTAATGGGCCTCCCAAGCCCAAGACTTGGAAGCTCAACCCATATTTTCCCTATAAATACTCCTATTGGGAGTCATGTAAAGGGCTGGAAATTCATTAATACAAATCACTTCTCTCTCTATTTCTCCCTTCTCTCTAGGAGTTAATACTCTAACATTTGATGCTTTCATTAATACATATCACTTCTCTCTAGCTCTCACTTGTCTCTAGGAGTTAATACTCTATCATCTATAATGTGTGCCAAGTATGTACAAAAAAGTGTATCAATAGCATTTTCGTAATTTAAAACCGTGTTAGAAGCCCTCAAACGAACAAGTTCTGATGGGGCTTCCCATCAGGATTACCTGACATGATCATTACTCTACTTCAACGTAATTTAAGGGGGTGCTTGGATTTGATTCTTAAAATTGCTTCTGCTCCTTCAGGGAGCAGAAGCAGAAGTTGGAGTGTTTGGGTAAAAGTGCAGAAGTGATTCTGGTGCTCTAATTTACTCCTAGAATCAGTTTTTTTAGAAGCTGAGTGACTAGCTTCTGAAAACTGATTCTGATTCCGCTTCTGCTTAAAAAAGAAGCAAAATCAGTTCCAAACACCCCCTAAAAATTAAAAGGGTTCTAACATGGTGAAATGCACGTGACTTGCATTAGATTCTACCATCATTAATAGCACGTAACATACTCATTCTGGTATAGCTTCCGCAATGAGCGTAATTTGCTCACATCATGCATACCTAGATGATAGTAACTAAATTATGACTCGCCATCTTGAAGTTTTAGAAAAGATTTCAGGATATTATCTTGGACGACGACGAACACTACTTAGATGTAGAGGGTTATAGTGACACTAAGTTTCAATTAGATAAAGATTATCTAGATTCTAGATCGCAGTTGGGATATTTGTATCGTGAAATCGTATATTTTGATCACCCAAGAATGTATGTTCCACTCTTCAAAGTGTAGATAATATTTTATGTGTAAGCAACAAATCGTGTGGGAATCATTGCAGACTTTGGTTGATTTTTTGTTTTTATGCGCGTTCATTGATGTTTCTTTGATTTCCAAACGTGTTCCAATAGTCCTTTAATGCTACCAAGAACTTCTTTTCCTAAAAATATACTATATATTTATACAACACCAAAATCGTAAAAGTGTACTTTGTATTAAATATTTGGCAAAATATTTACTATAACGATAGAGCGATTGAAATGACATAAGAAACATTCTCTAAGATATGTTGAAATGTGATCTTATCATATAGGTACAAAGAGGATTTTTCATCCTGAAGACATGGTGTGTGCTTCTCCAACATCGATTAATTTCACTATTGTATCCAAAGCAAATATTCATCATTTGTAATGGAGTCAAACTGTCAAAGACTCACTATTTTTGACTTGGGAATATAAGTGAATAAAACAAAATCACTCACTAAACTGTTTTCGCTTTAATACAGGGTTATGGTTGTGCACACCTGGCCTCACATACCTTACCGTAGGTGGGAAGCCTTTGCGGCACTGGGGTAATGATGATGATGATTGTATCCAAAGCAACAAAGGTCGGTGCTAACATATACTACCTCCGTCCCACTAGAAGGTTCACTATTTGCGGCACTGGGGTAATGATGATGATGATTGTCCACTATTTGCATGGTCAACTTAAATCATTTTTAATCGTTTACTTTATAAATAAAATTCTTATCAAATTTACATTTTTTTTATCAGTCTTTGTAGTGGTTTTAATGTAGTTTCTGAATATATTAATTTTATTTACTAAAACTAATCAGAGTGTGAATAGGGATTAAGTTATTTTATTGTCAGTCAAGCATCGTAAACCGTTCACGGGAACCTTCTAGCGGGACGGAGGGAGTACAATGTAACACATACGTAAATGTTGTTGACTTATTCGTCGACTTCCTTCCCCAACTAAACCATAAGCATCGCACAAATGCACCAGATCGATATTCGTTTCAAAACAATTGATCCTATTGCAAATGTCGTGGGGACGTGGGGGGACATTTGAAGTTTTGAAAAAATCTCAAGGACACTCATGCATATGGATTGTGCTTGCATATTTTAAACTCATTAACTAATAAAGTTGTAAGCTTTTATTTTTCTAATTCTGAGAATCTGAGTTCAGTGTATCAATATTTACTTGTTTAGTCCCTTGGCGAGTAACTAAATATGTGACGATTGTGGATACTACACATTGTAACAAGTATAGTGATAACAAATGGTTGGCCGGGCTTAACCAGAAAGTATAAAAGTGTCGATTATGGACTTATGGTAATAAGTACAAGTAAATACAAGGTCGGTCCACATGAAAACACTTGAACCCATTTGGTAACACTAAAATTGGCTGAATTGACTGATTATGCTGAAATTTATGAAGTTCAGGCTGAATTGGTTGTATTGGTTGATTCTGCTGATTAATGAAAAAATTATATTTAAAATATTTGCTATTAATAAATTAAACAAAAAATTATATGAAAAAATAGTTAAAATGATCCTATACAGTAACTTCAACCAAAACAGCCAGAAAAGTAACTCCAACCTTACTTTTTCTACTTATTACAAACTTCAGCGCGCGAAATCAAAAATTACGTGTTTGGTAAAAAAGTTGACTGATAAGCCTAATAAGCCGAGAAAGGGAGTCACCAAACGGGCTCTTGTTTTGTAAAGTTCAGGGTATGGAAATTAAAATATAAAAATGATGTGAAGTGCACGGATTTTCAATTGAGTGTACGAATATATGACAAAACGACTTCTCCAAAAAAAGCCTGGTCGAAACCGGACCGAGGCCCAGCCCGGCCCGAGGCTCAGCCCGGCCCGAACCGAGGCCATGCCTAGCCCGGACCGCCACAGTGCGGTACCGGCCCAGCCCGATTGACCGGGACCGGTACCGGGCCTTGGGCCCGAACCAGAGGGGTTTTGGGGCGGGTTACGGGCTGCAGCCCTCTTGGCACCGGCCCGGCCGGTCCGGGACTGGTCCGGGCGCAAAATGTTTTTTTTTCAAATGGATTGGGTGGTAGGCGGGTCGGGCTGGGTGATTTGGGGGTGTTTGGGGGTGGGGTGGGGGGGTAGGAATAAATAAGAAAAACAAAATTTTAAAAATACATATATAAGACCCAACCCGACCCAGGCCCGGTCCCGAAACCTACCCGGGCCAGTACCGGGCCTCCAACTCCCAAACCCAGTCCCGCCCAAGGCCCGACCCGGGCCCGGTCCATCCCTACTTGTAATTACTTATAAAGCTTATCAGTTATCACATAAAATTCTATTTAGTCACTAGTATAATACTTCATATATTGATATGAGACATCAATAATTTTAAGACCAGTGTGCGAATTAGCTGATAACTATACTACATTAGTCATAGATAAAGAGGATACCTAATCGCATTAATGATTGTTCTGTTTAGACCTCCCCGGTTCTCATTCATGATCCACCCATAGGAGGGTGTTCTAACACTCGTTTAGTCTTTGGAGGAATATTTCCCCATTTTCTTGCTAGCTTTCTGAGATGCTTCACCCCTATTATCTTGCTGGCTTCGATCTTCAATCCTTGCAAATACTGGTTGTGGTTCAGCCATAACTTGACCTCCCTTCAGCCCGCCCCAAGCAGTATGACTCTGGAACAACAAGCTCTGTTAATTCTGAAACAAGCTCTGGAAGGCTTTACTTTTTACATATCAAGCCAAATTTGTCCACCAACTACTATCACTACGCTGGCTCCATGATGAAAAAAGTAGCACATGAATCTTTGTGTAGATATATTCTAAACACTGCTTTCTTTCTGGTATAGATATAATAGCAAGTGTATCCATAACTTCAGCAATCTCAACACTCATTAACTTCATCCATTTTATGCATTACCAAACAGGCTGAGAGTATATTGAATCAAGAATGTAAGAGAATACCCAAGTGACAGCGTGGAACTGATCTTTCGTGTAACCAAGTTGGGCATAAATCCTCAAGCTTAAGCTTGGAGTAACAGGAGATAAAGCGACTGCTATGATTCTCACTACTTCCAGCACAACTACGAGATCCTTGAACAAAAACAAGAGGGTAAGTACATTTTCAAGGCAAGATATTTGGAGCATAATAATGCTAATTCTGCTTCTTTTTCATCAGTGCATTCAAAAAGCTCCTTATCAAGTTATAAGAAGAATTTTGTATGTTTTGACATAATGCAAACTTGTCGTTTTGAGTCAAGGATGCCCTTTACGAGGCCCAAACTATTTATAAGACCCTAAACTTAGCTTCTTGGCCCCATTGAGTCACTCCTAATTGGACCTATTGAACACACCAGAGCATTGGGCAATATGTGTCCACTGAACCTTCTTTTTGACATCTCCATCAAAGGGATAAAATTGGCTTGATATTCACCTAGTATATTGTATGCCCAACCAGTCTGATTAGAACCCAATGAGCTAGATGGATCCCACAGGTCAAGTTAAGGGGCTTATATGGGGTTTCGTCCAGTTTCAATTTGGATAATCATTTCTTACATATCTAGATAGTAAATGAGTTGATGAAAGGATACCTTGGCTGCAATTTCAAAATCTGCACCACCTTGCTTGAAAAGGGACCATGGTGCTTGTTTATCAATAAAGGAATTTCCTGCATTACCAATCTCTATAACTGCCTCACACGCTGATGAGAGTTCAAGCTTCTCATAATGGCTATGTGCCTTCTGAACCTACAAATGAAACAAACATATCAGGATCACTTATGGCTTTGGTTACCTTATATTATTAGTTCAATCAAATATGAATTACATTAGACAGGAGCAAGTCTAAGGGTCTAGATGGATGGGGTGCTTGGTGGTTTCCACAGAAAGTGAATTAAATTTTAGCTACGGTGGGATCTGAACCCCCCACTCCCACCCCCATTAATTTTCCATCATTTGCAATGGAGCCAAAGATTCACTAATTTTTGGCTTGAGAATATGATGGAATAAAGCAAAATGGCTCACTAAACTGTCTACGCTTCTTTGTTATGAAGCTACAGTCAGTCTATGCAATTCGGGACGCGATTTTCACTATGGGTGATCTGGAAACAGTCTCTCTGTTTTAAAACAGGGGTAAGACTGCGTACATCCGACCCCCCTTACCCTACCGTAGGTAAGAGCCTTTGCGGCACTGGGGTAATGATAATGATGATAATGATAATGATACAAAAAGAAAATAGTTACACTTTGTTAGGTAACAAGCACACAGAAGAATTATATGTATATTAAGAAATGGATTCTGAGAAGATATCAGAGATCAACAACAACAACAACAACAAACGTGAACAGGAAGTAAGGTAGAGACAATTTCGAGAGTGTCTCTCCCCTAGGCCCAACCAACTATCATAATACTTGTCTACCTTTCTCTTCCTCCTCTGTTCGTATAAAAATATTCCCTACTGGGACCCCCCTTAGCTATTTAGTTACATGTCCCGCACCCCTGCTCTTGTATATCATTATAAATAAAATTACTACTATTAATTTTCTTGTGGTTATTGTCCAGATCTCAATCATCACTCCCCCTTTGATTACCACCTTGCCCTCAAGGTGGAAGTCATGAAATTGCTTTTGGAATTGGTGGAGGCACTCCCATGAGTCTTCAAAATCTGGCAGCTGCTTCCAATGAACCAGAATTTCCCTACCTCCCGGCACCTTCTATGGTGTGACATGTAGTTCTCGTTCCTCAGATGTAGACTTTGGGAGGGGCTGACAGGATGTGTTAACTTAAGAGACACAGTTTTCTTTAATAAGGAAATGTAAAATATAGTATGTACTGAACAACTTGTAAGCTATTGGATTCCTTCTCACTGACCTCAAAAGGTCCATAGAATCTGGGACTTAACTTCAAAGTGATCCTCTTGGCTAGGCTCCTTACTTTATAGGGTTGTATCTTCATGTAGACTAGGTTACCGACTTCCAGTTGTACATCTCTTCTGTTTTTATTTGTCTGCTGTTTCATTTAAATTTGTGCCATGACCAGGTTTTTTTTAATTCTTTTATCCTACCATTTCTTTTAATAGTTATTCTGGTTACTTCATCCAGTGCAGTCAGAGTAGCATCCCCTTTAATAAGAGATGAAAGGGTCTTGTCCATATAAAGTTTTATAGGGTGTATTCTTTATAGAAACGTAGTAATTGGTGTTGTACCAATATTCAGATCAAGGGAGTCATGTGTGCCATTGTTTAGGTTTGTTGCCTGTGGTGCACCTTAAATAGGTCTCTACACACCTGTTAATAATTTCAATCTGACCATCGGTTTGGGGGTGGTAGGCAGTGTTGTACTTCAGTTTAGTACCTATTAGTTTGAATAGTTCTCTCCAGAAAAAACTCAGAACATTATCTCTGTCAAACACAATGGTCTTAGGGAATCCATGTAACCTGAGCACTTCCTGTATGAAGATTTCAGCCATCCCCTTTGGCAATATATGGATAGGATAATGCTATGAAGTGTTCAAATTTAGTTAGCTTGTCCACCACTACCAGTGTAGTGTCTTTTCTATATGCCCAAGGTAGTGCCCTAATGAAATTCATGCTAATGTCAGCCCAAACTTGATTAGGAATGCATAGTGGGTGGAATAAACATGCACGGCTCAAAGTTTTGTACTTAATACATTTGGCTGCCCAATCAATCATGTTTCGTACTTTTGTCACTTAATAAAATTTATTTTGTTTTTTTTACTTAATATTAAGGAAAATAGGATTTCTAAAATAGGAGTAATGTTTATGTTAGGTACCTAGCTAATTCAAGATCTATTTCAAGAAACAAGATGAAGAACAGAGATGTGCGTACAACTGAAAGGGTTCGTATAAAGAAAATAGAGAGAAAAGTACAAAGGCAGTTAAAGAGTGCCTACTCTCCAAAGTCCCAGACCCAATTAACAATTCCAACCCCCCCTTTCTATTCTCCCCTCACCCTCTATTTATACTAACTATTCTAATACTCTTCTTATTTCTTATTATTCTATGTAGATCCCTAACATTACTCCCCCTTTGACAACCACCTTGTCCTCAAGGTGGGTCATAGGAGACAGTCCTGATGAACCGCTTCTTCCTCATCTTTGCGCCTCGTCCTTCCCAATATCTTCCAAATTTCAGGACCCTGAACTTCATGAACTGAACCATTTCCATCACTTTTACCATAGTGAGAAGCTGAGGCAAGGGCATATTTTCATGATGCTTCACTACAACCTTGCCAGCACCAAGTGCTACAACCCCTAGAGAACCATTCTCATCGGGCAGTTCCCCAATAATAGCATAAAAAACTGGCTGCCACTCCTCCTGGAATTGGATACCTACAGATCTAGGTACTTCATAGAGGTTTTCTGCACCACACTCTTGAGAAGTCATCATGGCTCGGACATTCCCTTTTCCTTCAGTATCAAGAATGATGAAATCATATCCAGTAGCTTCATCCTTTGCCATCAAACTGCAGTCAACATTGTTACCAGTTCCTAATTCTTCAAGCTGTGGTCGTGGTTTAGTCAACATTGGCCTAACATAAGGTAACATGTGAACGACCAAATGCTGTATGTTACCAGGGGCCCTAATAGCTAAAGTTTGTTGGTAACTCTTTGGGACCATCCTCTGTAAAAGCCTTGTGAATGATTCATAAACCTTAGGCAGTAACAGGTTATGAGCTGTCATTTCAGAGATGTCTCTCAACATTATATAACTTTCAAGTGCTTTAAATGGATTTTGTAAATCAAGCTTGGGGTAGTCTAACATACTCTCAACCCAGGGCGGCAGTTCTGCTTCTTGTATTTCAAGGTGTAGGGCATGGCTAGACTTATCAGTACCATGAATCTGTTGATGTTTTCCCCAGATATTAGCAGATTCTCCTGGAACAGTCTCCACCTCCTCCTCCTGAGCCTCTGTACTAGTATCAGAAGTCATTAGGACTCTGTTTCCAAAGGAACATGGTTGAATAACCTGTCTTTTCTCCTTAATTACGTCCTTGATTTCCTCTTTCGTATTCATTTGCGTGATTACAGGTTCAGTTAATTCCATCTGTGTCTTCTTTATTGACTGGGCAATATCTTGTTCAGGGTGAGAAACTTGCAAACTACAAGAAATTCTTGGTGACCTTGATGATACCTGTTTTTCTGTCCTCCCTGTCTTCTGCCGGTGTTTAGGTGGAAAATCCCTAATCAAGTCTTCCTTGAGAGCATTCCAACTATCTTCTCTCTTATGAAAATCCCACCAATGAAACCAGCCATCTGCGGCTTCCCCCATTGCCTTTGCTGCAATGTCTACTTTAAATCTTTCTGCAGTAGCTTGGACTCGGAAATATCTTTCCATCCTCCCTATCCATGCGTACGCATCAACCTTGTGGAATAGAGGTAATTCCTCTGTCTTTGACCTAGCTCCGACTTCATCGCGATTCTTCCCCACCTTCTTTCTGTTTCGTTCCAATCTGCGCAAACCAGATGCGGACATTTCTGACCATCGATGTTCTTCGCGTAAACCATAGCGCTTCTCCATGGTTCCAGGCGTCGATTGCTCTGAAGAAGACGAAGAAGATTCACTACTGTCCAGTCTCTTGCTTCGCTTTGTTGTTTTGGACCTTCCGCTTGAGTGGCTTTCCTTCCTCTGCAGAATTAATTCGCGTAACTCTTCGTTAGTGCGTCTGGCCCCTTCGCAATTCTTCTCCCGCTCCATGTTCTCTCTGGAGTATGATTGCGTTGGACTGTCATGTCGTTTGTCGCGAGTTGAGGTTCTTGACCTTCCTCGCTCATGTCCGTCGTTCTGCTTTATCAACAGTGCGCGCAACTCAGCCATCTCATGCCGCAACTCTTCGCGATGATGTTCCAGCTCGCGTTCGAAACTGTCCAATTTTCCTTCCATCGTTCTACGCGTCACAACCATGGACATGTGTCAGAAGCGGTGCTCTGATACCAATGTTAGGTACCTAGCTAATTCAAGATCTATTTCAAGAAACAAGATGAAGAACAGAGATGTGCGTACAACTGAAAGGGTTCGTATAAAGAAAATAGAGAGAAAAGTACAAAGGCAGTTAAAGAGTGCCTACTCTCCAAAGTCCCAGACCCAATTAACAATTCCAACCCCCCCTTTCTATTCTCCCCTCACCCTCTATTTATACTAACTATTCTAATACTCTTCTTATTTCTTATTATTCTATGTAGATCCCTAACAGTTTATATTTTTAAATTGATTGCCTCTTTTATAACTCACTTAGGACATTAAATCTTTGTCTTAATTCAAAACTAATTACACTAAAAAAGATAAAATTATTTTTATTCAATAATAAAAATCTAGTCTTGGTATATAGTAAAAGCATGAAAGATCACAGAGAACATCTAAGAAAAGTGTTACAACTTCTCAATGATAACACCACCAGAAAGAAGTGCAGCTTTAGGCAGTCACAGATAGCATGTCTGAGGACACTTAATCTCAGGCCAGGGAGCTGCAGCTGACCTTGGGAAGGTACATGATATGCTGGATTGGCCACTAACCCAAAGTTTGCAGGGTTTAAGGGGATTCATGGAATTGACAGGATATTATAGAAGGTTTGTGAGGGGGTACAGCAAAATACCATTCCCACTAACTAATATGTTAAAAAGGGGAAACTTCAAATGGAATCAGGAAGCCTTGAAGCATTTGAGCAACTAAAAGGGGCCATGACTTCCCAGCACAGCCCCAGCCCACAATAATTGGGACGGTGTGGCCGATCCCAAACTGTTAATGATCCCTAACAAAATGACACAAATTAGCCAAAACTAAACATGCCGACCATATAATGTTTGATGATAAAGTGAAGGGATGAATTAATTTTACTGTTTTGGATCACCAAAGAAAAGGCTGCTGCTGGAATAGGATTACCAGTTTTTCAACAGTCTCTTTCAATGACTTCCCTTCCGCAGCAACAGTTGAATCAAATGGCAAAGTTGATTGGCAGTTCTTCTTCAGTAGTCCAAGCACACGACTTAGAAGATTTCCTGCAAAAGCAATTTTGAGTCAAGATTGGGGAACAAAGAAACACTTCATATTCCGTTAAATGTGACAAAAGTGACCAGAAATGATTGAGGGGTTATGAAAGTACCAACTGTATTTGCAAGATGTGCATTAGTAATGTTGACGAAGCGTTCCTCTGAGAAGTCTCCATCATTACCAAATTCCACCTCCCTGAGGAAAAAATATCGGACTGCATCAGATCCAAATCTATTAACCAGGTCAGTCGGCTCGAGTGTATTCCCTAAGGACTTTCCCATCTTCACGCCATCCTAAAATTTTATAAATAATAGCAAGCTGCACGACGTCAGAGGTGAGACAGACTAGAATCCAAAAAATACATTGCAATAAAAAATGTTTGCAAACAATACATTGCAATAGAAAAATAAAATGTGCAAGTATTCCAATATGTGAATCTTTGTTTCGACGAACTTGCATAGAATTAGTGTAGGTACACAAGGGTATTGAACCATCAGGGATGGGGGTGGGCCCCCTACCCTCCCCAAAAGGCCAAAATATGCACATGTGAATGAAAGTAGAAATAGTTAGATCATAAATGATATTAATAGCTTGCTTGCATGCAAATCCATAAATCTCTTGTGTTTTATATAAGACAAATGTTTGTCATCTGAGGACCCCTTTGGGTGGTTGTGTTCGCAGTTTTTGGTTCTATAATTTTTAAGTTTACACACGTAAGTTGTATAATAAGAGTAATGTTAGGGGGTTAAGTAGAAAGGACGTGAAACTGAGAAATGGGAAGCCCAATACGGCGGAAGCGGCATTTTAAGTAGGATACAAAGAACAGAGAAAACACATAAATATAAATAAGATATAGTTATATTAGGATATAGTTATTAATATTTTTTCATATACTATCTACGTCCCACTAAGATTGTCTCATTTTTCCTTTTTGGTCCATCCCACTGAGAAATGGGAAGCACAATACAAGGGAAGCGGCATGTTAAGTAGGATACAAAGAATGGAGAGCGCGTAAATATATATAAAATTAAAATATTAGGATATACTCCCTCCGGTTCTGAAAGATCTTTACACTTTCCATTTTTATCAGTACCACAATTATCTTTACACTTCCTTATTTGCCTTTTTTGGCAAATAAATCTACACAAAACAGTGTCAAACAGTATCAAACAGTGTACTCTACAGTAAAGTCAAATTTATTTCCTTAAAAACTGTGAAGTCAAAGTGTCAAGATCTTTTGGAACCGGAGGGAGTAGTTATTAAAAAAAACCATATACTCCCTCAGTCCCACTAAGATTGTCTCATTTTTCCTTTTTGATCCATCCCACTTAGCTTTGCGTATACCATATTTGATAATATTTGTGTGGTTCTAAATCGTTCTTACTTTATTCTCACTTTATCAATTCAATATCAACATTATAAACTCACTTTTCTTGGTAAACGCACCACCTCCTCTTGTACCAAAGTTAGGGAGACGGGGTTAGTACATGTCAACATACTATTTCCACATATATGTGCGTGTACAATTAAACATACCTTTTCATATAGCTTGCCAAGAATGTTTTTAATTGGATTTTTTAGTCTAATCTAGTTTGTTCTACTTAAGTTTGGTTTGGTCTGAAGTAGTCTGGTATTGTAAATGTATATTTCATCATTTATGTGTATTTTACTATTGTTCAAGTCTAGTTGGTTTAGGTGGGATCGCTCTAGTCTGAAACTGAATCAGTCCAATTAAAAAAATCCTACGTAATCACGATAAAATAGTTTTTGAGTTCAATATATAAATTATTGACATACTAGTGTAAAATCCAATACATTCCTAGCAATGCATTGCTCTAAGAAATATCAAAGACCAACAATATGAAGATATTCTATAGAAAACATCTTTAAAAATTTCCATAAGAAAACATAGCTTTCAACAATGAATCCCATCAAAATGAAAAAAGAGGGATTCTCAAACAGTAATTAATTAAGGAAACTGGTTTGTTGATTCTTTTAATTACTAAATGGACCTCAAACTGAAATTTGGAGTTTCTGAATTTCCCATACACTTGGGACTTTCTGTAATGACAAAACGTGAGTTAAGCACAGTTTCATGCTTCTTAGCTAAGGCACATTAAGTTCAGACATTCTAGGGAGTCAGTACTACGTGACATGCATAATGCATTCAGTAGGTGACACAAAGTTAGAAATGTAGTCACCGCCCAATGAATGTTTGCCACAGGAATAACTCCATAAAAAATTTAAATTTCACGAGTCCCTATCCTTAGTCACATAATAAACCAAAACTTCTCAAATAAAAGAATGTTTTTTGAAAACTACCATTTGTGAATAGAAAAACACTTTTTCTTGTCTCAATAATCTGGTTTTTAGTTTTCGAAAAAGAAAAACAGGAAACCACCCTGACAGGGGCCTAAGTTGATAAATAGTCATATGTGACAACTAACATTCTGAAGATTAAAACATGGAGGATGATGCTTGCTAAAACAAATAAAACTGAAACTGGGAAGTGTGAGAAAGAAGAATTACTTGTTATGAACAAATGTTTATGTCTAATTGTCTATGTCACATAATATCGTTTAGACATCGGAAACGGTGCATAATAAAGTAAAAAAAAAGATACGAGGATTTGATGATCATTCGGTAGTGCATTTAGATACCTTTGTCAGGAATCCATGGCTAAATATCATCTTAGGAAGGTCAAACCCAGCTGACATCAGCATAGCTGGCCAATAAACCGCATGAAAGCGCAATATATCCTGGGTGGGGCAATTACGTAAAAATTTCAAAAAAAATCATAAAAAATGCCACCAACAATATGCAAACAAAAAATTATGTACCTTTTTTTTCAGATAAAACTTTGTCATTTCCGGGTTTTGTAGTAAAATTGCCATTGTCTACAAAAGAACGACAAGCTAGCTAGACCACTAGGCATTTTTTATTTTTAGAACTATAAAACCTCTGATTGACCATAGGGAGGGAATCCTTCTTTTCCAAGTAAGTAAAGAAAGTTTGTTTCTGGCATAACATGCAAATTTTAATTAGAGGCAGTGTGAGATATATATAAATCCCAGATTCATAACTAGGAATAACACCAATATATTTATTATATTAGATTAACTAAACAGAGATATCAGACCTTTCCAATTAAGTGTAATGATGCAGGCCACTTTAATGAAACAGCATGGTGTAAGTCAGGCATCTCCTTATCCTCTATAACAGCAGATATGTAACTGCACGAAACAATAAGAAAGAGGGCATTGAATAAGACGCACATGAAAAATAACATAAAACTCAATGAAATAATATGTATTACAGAGCATCATATTTTTCACGGTGTTTCACAAGCAGTGTTGACCAGTACCCAACTTCTCTATTGCATAAGCTTTAACATTCTTGAACATCAACAAAAGCTATATACTAACTAGAATTAACTAATTAAGTTAACCATCGAATGAAAAAATGAGAACGTAAGAAATCACATATTCACATGTATACCTTACCAACTATCCAGATTGTTTTGGAAGCAACACAATTAACAACTACCCAGATATTGCCAAATGCAGGCACAAATAAAGGATAGAGGACTCTGGCAGATAACATAAGAACTACAATAAAACTATAGTGGATGGCGTTGGAGTAAATAGCAGAAGCATAACGCATTAGGTAAAATATACTACATATGTAACAATTATACATAAATATCGCACTAGATGTAAGCAGTAAAGTTATAAAGTAGATTCTAGTAACATTAAAACATCTAGAAACTGAGAAGTGAACCTAGAATCATAGCACAAAATTAGTAAACCGCCAGAATCAAAGTTGTGCCATGATGTTATTTGGTACATGTTGTCTCCAGAAACCAGTCATCATCATCACCCCACTACCGCAAAGGCTGCCACCTACGGTGGGGTAAGGGGGGGTCGGATGTACGCAGCCTTACCCTGTACTAAAACACAAAGAGACTGTTTACGGATGACCCGAGGTGTCTCCAGAAACTAGTAAACCACCAAAAGTGGTTTACTAAAAGGCTGCCACCTACGGTGGGGTAAGGGGGGGTCGGATGTACGCAGCCTTACCCTGTACTAAAACACACAGAGACTGTTTACGGATGACCCTAGGTGTCTCCAGAAACTAGTAAACCACCAAAAGTCAAAGCTGTCCCACCAAGGATCATTGGTGTTCTTGGTCTTTGAAGAAGATTGTGACATGATGGCATGTGGTAATTTCTGTCTCCATAAACTATGTTAAAAATTGAGAGCTACTAAGAAAAAGAGTTAGGCAGTATAGAAGCTAAACATTAGAGGTGTTAAAATAAGATATACCACACCGAAGGCAATATTTCAGTATAGAACTGCCTGGAATGATTTCAACCCTGATGATCAAATTGGGGCTTGCGGAAGTACTGCAGGTCTTCAGGCCTTCGACATGGGAGATCCTGTGTCTTTCATAGCAGGAGGAAAGCTGAAACGGGGCATCAAGCAGGCTGGATGAGCGGATGGCTCTTTGGCATCAGAATTTCGGAACCGCAGAAGATGAATTTGACTTCATCGTTGAGAATCTCGATGTTGTGAGAGTTAATTGGTTAAAGGATTATATACTCAAGATCTTTTCTGATAGTAGATTTTGTTGATAAAACGAAGAGACATCATTAATCTAGGATTTATTTTCCTTATTATTACTGTAATTATGTATCTTTAGTGCTTCAGGTTGTATTTAATAGCTGTTGTCTTTTCAGTTCTCAATCATTTATGTTTAGTATTTAGACAGTCACCTAGGGTGCTGAATAGACTCTCTCAGGATTCCTATCTGTATAAATAGCTTATGTACTTCTTGTAAATGAATTCAAGGAAATAATATTCAGAAAACTTCATGGTATCAGAGCTTGGTTTCGTCTAAGCCTTTTTTGAGTCAGTCTATCACCTCTCCAACGGTCATTTTTTGGGTGTCTCTACCCTTCTCTCTCTTTAACTCCCGGTGGAGTCTCTTCATCAAGGGTTTTATCATGTCTAAAGAAGCCGAATCAGCCTCAAGTAACCTTGATCACTCAACCATTGTTTCAGCTGCTACTGCAGGCGCGTTTGCTCTTCGAAACCAGAAATTTGATCTCCCTTCTATCCCGCCATCTTACCGTCTCAATGGCAGGAACTATCTTGGGTGGTCAAAGCTGGTTTACACTCTTCTACGTGGCAAAGATCTTGAAGATTATCTCACTGTCTCTACCCCAGAAGAAGGAGAGATTGATGCTGCTATTTGGGAGAAAACTAATGCCAACGTACGGGTCTGGTTATGGGACTCTATGGATCCCAACATTAGCAGTACATGTTTATACATGGACTCGGGTAAAGAAATCTGGGATTTCATACAGCAGTCCTACTCTGTTGCTAAAGATGGCGCTTTTGTCTATGACTTATGGCTCAAAACAACGAATCTTAAGCAAGATTCACAATCTGTCACAGATTATGCAACTGACCTCCAACGACGATGGTCTGAACTTGACCAGTATCAAACGATGAAGTGGTCGAATGCTGCAGATGCAGCTCTTCACAAGAACTATATAAATCAGCAACGTCTATATTGCTTCTTGTCTGGTTTAAATCCCGAATATGATCAGACTCGGGGTCAAATTCTTGGCATTACTCCTCTGCCTTCCATATCTTCTGCCATTGCCACTATCAAACATGAAGAGAGCAGACGCAATATAATGATGAATACAAATCTGATTGACAGTACAGCTCTTGCTGCCAAATCTACTCCTTCAGATGTTAAGGAAACTAAGGGTAGTAAGGGAGGAAGATGGTGTGATCATTGCAAGCGGTCCAACCATAATGTGGATACATGCTGGAAACTTTATCCTCATGACCTCATCTACAGAAAGAAAGAAAAAGCCAAGACAGACGTGGAATGAGTGCTGGACGTGCCAACTCAGTCACTCCCACTATTGTTGAGAGCTCTACTAATCTTTGGCCCATTTCTCAGGAGGAATTAAAGCAAATTCGTATGATGTTACAGTCTCTTAATAACTCAAATGGTTCTGGTCATAGCTCTTTGGCCCTGCAAGGTAAAACCTCTACTATTTTTTGTCTTAATGCTTCGGAACAGAGTTCACAATCCCAATGGATATTAGACTCAGGTGCCACATCTCATATGACTGCCATACCCTCTTTACTCTCTAATTATCATCCATGTTTTACATCCACGCACATTACTACTGCTGATGGGACACCTACAAAGGTTGCGGGACTTGGTACGGTTGTTTTTTCTGAAAAATTAAATCTGAAAAACACCCTACATGTCCCAAACCTGGCTATGAACCTTGCTTCTATTTACAAACTCACAGTTGATCTTAATTGTGCTGCCATTTTTTTCCCTTCCCACTGTTTATTACAGGATCTACACACGGGGAGGACGATTGGAATTGCTAAACAAAGAGATGGCCTGTACTACCTTGATGCACTGTTTGTCTCCAAACCTCCACAAAAAGCTCTTACCACAATCACAGCCAATACCAACACTATTTGGCTTCACCACAAGCGTCTTGGTCATCCCTCTTTTCATGTCCTAAAAACCATGTTTCCCAGTCTTTTTAGTAGTATTGATGTTTCTACATTTCAATGTGATGTCTGTGAACTTGCTAAACAGTCTCGTGTATCTTTTTCTAGAAGTAATACAATCAGTTGTTCTCCTTTTGATATTATACATAGTGATGTCTGGGGTCCTGCTCCAATTGCTAATATATCTGGTGCCCGGTGGTATGTTGCATTTATTGATGATTGTACACGTTTTATGTGGGTTTTTCTGCTAAAAACAAGAGTGAGGTGAGTTCCATCATTCCTATCTTTTGCAATATGATTCATAATCAGTTCTCCGCCACAATAAAACGCTTCCGCACTGATAATGCTCTTGAATACTTCAATCAAACCGTTTCCTCTTATTTCCTCTCAAAAGGCATTGTTCATGAGTCCTCTTGTCCGTACACACCACAACAGAATGGCACAGCAGAAAGAAAAAATCGCCATCTCCTAGACGTCAGTCGGGCTTTATTGTTTCAATCAAATATGCCTAAACACTATTGGGGGGAAGCCACACTCACAGCATGTCATCTCATCAATAAAATGCCCAGTCGGGTACTCCAAAATAAGTCACCCCTTGAATCTCTCCGTCACTTCTTTCCTCAAACCAGAATTTCTTCTGATCTTGATCTAAGGGTGTTTGGGTGTACTGCATTTGTTCATATTCCTCCACCTCATAGGGGAAAATTGGACCCACGATCTATTAAGTGTATCTTTCTTGGTTATTCTCCAACTCAGAAAGGATATAAGTGCTATAATCCTACAACTAGAAAGACATACACCAGTGCAGATGTGACCTTTCACGAAGACACACCTTTTTACACTCCTACTTCTCTCCCTGTATCCCAAGATACTCCACATCCTTCACCTCTGCCCACCTATACTATTACATCTTCTCCACCACATACAATCTCCTACCCTCCTAAGCCTTTATCACCAGACATCCCATTACCACCACATACAATCTCCTACCCTCCTAAGCCTTTATCACCAGACATCCCATCACCACCACCACCACATGATCATCCATCACCTTCCTTAGATGTGTCAGCAACCTCACCTACTTCCCAACAGTCTTCAACATCACCTGAACCTCAATCAAATACACCACCAGACCATCCCATTCCTACACCTACTAAATCCACCACTCATGACCCATCTTCTCCTCTACCAGTGACAAAAGTGTACTCAAGGAAAAACAGGTTCACTCCATTGTTGACGCATGACCAATTGGCTGACCCAGGTAATGTCTCTTCTTCTCCACCACCATCTCCGCCAATTGCTTTACGCAAGGGTGTACGTCAATGTACCAAAACACCTCTATACCCTCTTGCTAATTTTGTTACCATTGATAACTTCTCTCCTTCACATGCCTTGTTTATTCAGAGACTTAATGAAATTCCCATACCAAACTCTGTTTCTGAGGCATTAGGAAAGAAAGAATGGAGGGATGCTATGCAAGAGGAAATTAGAGCTCTTGAAAAGAACCATACTTGGGATATTGTGACTAAACCTCCTGGGAGGCATGTTGTTGGTTGCAGGTGGATCTTTACTGTCAAATACAAGGCTGATGGATCTCTTGAGCGGTACAAAGCTCGTCTTGTGGCTAAAGGATACACTCAGACGTATGGGATTGACTATCAAGAGACCTTTGCTCCTGTAGCTAAGCTCAATACTGTCCGTATCCTACTATCCTTGGCATCTCACTTTGATTGGCCTTTATTGCAATTTGATGTCAAGAATGCTTTTCTCCACGGTGACTTGCATGATGAGATCTACATGTACATTCCCCCAGGCTTTAATAAAACATCAACAAGAACCTCTACACATGTATGTCATTTAAAAAAAGCCCTCTATGGTCTCAAGCAATCCCCTCGTGCTTGGTTTGACCGCTTCACACAGGTTGTTCTTGCTGCTGGGTATAGTCAAAGCCAAGGGGATCATACTCTTTTTTACAAACACTCTCGCCCAAATGGAGTCATTATTCTTTTAGTATATGTGGATGACATCATTGTGACGGGTAATGATCCAGTTGAGAAACAACGTCTTGAGGGGCAGCTGAAATCCAAATTCGAGATGAAGTCTCTTGGCCCTCTAAAATACTTTCTTGGAATTGAAGTTGCTCGCTCATCTGAAGGCATCTTTATCAGCCAACAAAAGTACATTACAGATTTGTTAAATGAGACTGGTAAGAGTGCTTGTCGACCGGTTAATGCACCTATGGATCCTAATCACAAGCTTGGACTTGCTACTGATGAACCCAAGGTTGATTCATCAATGTATCAGCGCTTGTGTGGCAAACTTATCTATCTCTCTCATACTAGACCTGACATTGCCTATGCAGTTAGTGTTTTGAGTCAGTTCTTGCATGATCCAAGGAAACCACATCTAGAAGCAGCCTATAGGGTTCTTCACTACCTAAAAGGAAGTCCAGGGCAAGGGATAATATTCAGGAAGGGTGGGCAATTATCAGTCCAAGCCTTCACTGATGCAGATTATGGTGGCTCCCTCGTTGACCGCCGGTCAACTACTGGTCTCTGTGTTTTCCTAGCAGGAAACCTCGTGACATGGAGAAGCAAAAAACAGAATGTTGTGGCACGATCATCTGCTGAATCTGAGCTAAGAGCTCTTGCCCATGGCTTATGTGAACTTCTATGGATCAGAATGATTCTCTTAGATTTACGAATCAAGTGGAAAGGACCAATGGAATTGAGGTGTGATAACAAATCAGCAATCAACATAGCTCATAATCCAGTCCAACATGATCGGACCAAGCATATTGAGATTGATAGGCACTTTATCAAAGAAAAGGTTGAAGGAGGTCTGATCGAACTAAGCTACACTCCCTCAGAAGATCAAGTTGCAGATGTGTTTACCAAACCTCTGCACAGTCCTAGGTTCCAGGGTCTTATTGTCAAGCTAGGCATGACGGATATCTACAAACCTAGCTTGAGGGGGAGTGTTGATAAAACGAAGAGACATCATTAATCTAGGATTTATTTTCCTTATTATTACTGTAATTATGTATCTTTAGTGCTTCAGGTTGTATTTAATAGCTGCTGTCTTTTCAGTTCTCAATCATTTATGTTTAGTATTTAGACAGTCACCTAGGGTGCTGAATAGACTCTCTCAGGATTCCTCTGTATAAATAGCTTATGTACTTCTTGTAAATGAATTCAAGGAAATAATATTCAGAAAACTTCAGATTTCTTCTGAATAAATCCCTTGCCATGTTGTATGATGCTAATTCTTTCGGGGATTTATCCGAATGATCGAGAAGGGTGGTGATTCTTTATTTATTCCCGGGGGATGGAATGGCCATGGGTTCAACACTTTTCTTGCGGGGATTACACGAGCTATTATGTTGATGAATGCAACCATTTCCAAAAAACTGGCAATTGAAAAAGATCCAGGTGAGGTCTTTTCAATTACAACGGGTTCCAAAAGTCATTTGGACTTTCTACCTTTTAATGAGGATTACGCTAACTCCTACGAAACTACGAGTTCCATTTCAGTGTATTACTTCAGGCTGATATTGAGCATCTTGATTCATTTGATCAGTTTTTGGGTATGGGTTCAATTGATGATGTTCACCGTATTGATGAATTTGCAAATCTTAAGGATTTCTTTCAGGTTGCTTTGAAAATGGGGTGGAATCACTTTCTGGGTTTCTACTTTATGAATTGCAGAGGCTCCTTGCCTCTTCTTTGGGTAATTTGACTTTGACACCCACAAATGAAACAAAAGCTGATAAGAACACTAAAGTTTAAGAGTCAGGTGATAGTATTAGGAGTACACATGCTCATCCTGGATGTGATTCTCCAGATCAGCTTCGCCATCAGCAACCAGTAGCAGAAATCGGTTGATCGTGATTACTGAAGAAGTGATCGATGTTCATCAACAGAAATTGATTTCAAAGAATGTGAGAAGATATTTTAGAAGTGTTTATCTCCCAATTTGACATTTTAGAGTGTTTCATACGATAGTATTATTTATATTCCGTATTTAATAACCAAAGGAATTGTCCAATCAAACATTTAGTACTCAAACTATTGTTATGTGCTAAACTTTATTACACAGTATTGTTTATCGTTTATTGGATAAAAAGATTCAGTTACAAGTGCATCACCATGTTAGGCTCTTATTAAAAATCAGTATTTATGCATGGTTAACTTTATTTATATTGCAGTATCGAGAGTAACAAATCATAAGGGTTTGAAAATATTGATTTACAATGAAGATGACAAACAAATCAACCATACTACCAATGTTGTTATAAGAAAGTGTTTTGAAATGCACAGGCTACGGAAACCTTATTGTAATATTTATTTACCCCTTATTCCAAAACATACTTCATACCAATTATGAGCTGTAACTATCTTCTCCTTAATTATCAACTTTTGTGTATATTACATCTATACTATTTGCATTCATTTACACATTAACTAATAATAATGTTAACAAATAATATGATATAGTTATTACTTACTTTATGTCTTCATGCATCGCATGGGTGAGAATCTAGTTTTTATTTTAAGTTGTGTGAGATTTAATATAATACAAGCATATAGAGTTTACATGCTAAAAACCTGCAATACAGAATCTATAAAACCAGTAGTGTCATGCCTATTTAATTATAAGACGATAAAGGGTAGCCCGGTGCGCGGAGGCATCCCCCGCAAGGCGAGGGTTCAAGGAAGGGTCTGACCACAAGGGTGTATAAGGGGCCAATCTTGCCCTGTCCAATTTTAAGAAAAGGCCGCTCTCAGGGGCGTAGCTAGAGGGGGGGCAACCCTGGCTTTGGTCTAGCCCAGATTTTAAAAAAGTCAATTTTTAGTGCAAAAAATTCCGTGTAAAATTTTTTCCAAAAATATTCTTTGTACCGGCCCAATGCTCTGGCTCCGCCCCTGGCCGCTCTCAAGACTTGAACCCGTGACTTTTGGATCAAACATTTAATTATAAATGAATAATAAAGGAAATAGTTAAAAAATAATTTGTTCCAAAAAAAACAAAGTACCCAAGGATGTAAGGAGGGTAAATTGAGGACAAAGGGGGGCTGTATAAACTCAAGGTTAGACTCATAGTAAGTTATCTGTCACAGTGTCACTATATATGATATACGTAATTCTCTAATTTTAAAATTTTAAAATAACCCATCCTCTTTTTTCTCCAACCACACCCCACTATCATCACTTAAGAAATTTGAACACTTGCCTCACTATAAAGTATACAGGTTCCTTATTCAGTTAATCCTTTTAAAATTATCTCGAATTTTCACGTGATAAGAGCAAAACGGCCTAAGCATATAAGTTTGGCTTGTCACATACTCAGATGACACGTGACGTGGGTTTAATGCACCAAACAGCCAAAACCCCCATGAAATATAAATTCAGTGCATTAGCCAAAACCTATTTGTTCTTGGAGGGGGTTTTGCGCATGAATAATTATAAAACAAGGGGGTTTGACACATTTTTTAAATCACAAGGGGCTAATGTGCCGAATTTATATAGCATGAGGGGGTTTGGTACATTAAACCCCAGGTGAAGTAAATCATTTAGTTATCCAACTCTTTTTATATCTTCACAAATCCAATAAAGTACCCAAACAAATATCCACAAAAAGACATCACGATTACATACAAATAAAACAGTTTCTGAGCACAACAATACGCAAGAAAATATAAGAAAATACAACAAAGGAAATAAACATCTAAAATTAGTTGTAGTACCGGAAAAGATAATTACTCACCCCAACAAAGCATCAAACCATACATATATGGTCTGCTTAGGATCATTAGGAACTGCAACACCCCAATCGACCGATGCTCGTGAGATGGAAAAATCTTTGAGGCCACTTTTAATCCAACCTTGCACCTAAAGATATTCTACATCAGTTTTAACTTGTACTACCTCCATTCTTAAATAGATGCAACATTAGAAATTTTATACTATTCACATGATCTAGTTTGACTATAGTTTATTTAAAAATACATTGAAAAAATATTTTTTTAAAAATATAATTAAATTCTACTCAATTTCAATTTTCAAAATGTAATTTTTTTAAATTTTTACAATTAGGAAATGAAATATATTAATAGCCAAAGTTGTGCATTGGCAAACGTGAAAATGGAAACGTTGCAACTAAAACAGAACAGAGAAAGTTTATGGGTGGAGGGGTCCAAGAGGGTAGAAGAACATTATCACTTTATACACCCAAAGAGGCATCTTTTAGCAAGTTAAGTCCAATAGTTTTGCTTCTCTATTCATATGTAAAAAATGATAGGCTATAAATAATTCTTTTAGAGGATAAAAAGAAAAAGGACTAACAAGATACATTAGTTCTTATATGTAAATTATTATAACACCAATTACCTCATAACTTAGGGACAATTTATAGGAGTAACAAAAGACTGATGGGCTCATTAAACCCAAAGAAGTGATAAAAAAACTTCTGCTTCTGAGGAAGTAATTGCATAAAAGCAGCAATATGATGCACAGACAATATGGACGGAACAAACCTTATAAGTACTACTATTATTAATAGTTATATGCTATTACTATTAATAATATTACTATAGAAAAGATAAATGTTTACTTATCACCTCATTTAGTCGGAAATATGGCAGAACAAAATCAGGGTTTAGTTGTAACTTTTCTTCCAGTTGCTTCTGGTACTTTGACAGGGCAAAGAAGTAATTGTCTTCCTTTTTTCTAACGCATGGCTTTAAGTGCACTGGGCAGCAGTCATTTTCTAGCAATTCCTTCTCATCCTAAAATGAAAAGTATGAAAACAATGTTACACACTACTAGGAGGCAGTATTAGGAATCTTACATTCATGCAATACAGAAAAACAAGTGCTTGATGCAAGAAACAACCATATTTGTTAAAAAAAGTTGCCATCTGGATGCTGGAAAGTATTCGCTCGTCATAATAATACTATGTTAGCCCACTATTTACTCAAGCCAATAAATAAAAAAATTAGAGAAGGGTGCGGACAAACAGTAAGTGTTCATTGGGCCCAAACTTTGTTTTCAAACGGAGCCTATAGAGAGGGAAAGAGTTACATGTTACCCTATTCCATTTCATAGAATATGTTTTAAAATAATGCTACCTTTAGGCAATGTTCCAAAAGACGCTAGGTGTTAGTCGGGCGTCAGCCCAACGCCTAGACGGCTAGGCGGGCGCCTAGGTGGGGACTAGTCAGAGACACAGAAATTATTGTTTTATCAACGTTATTGACTAAATATGATTAGTAATGTTTTGTTGTGTGTGTATAAAAAATACACACACATACACATTAACATTCATGAATGATAGAGTTGTTACATTTAATAATATATATCATACCTACTCAGTTCACTTCACTATGTAATAAATATTATAAAATAAAAATAACATTTAAAATTATATGGAAACACACATAGTTTTTATATTCATCTACAGCTAGTAGTTTTCTTCACAAACATTGTTAAAGTTAAAGGTATATATATCTTTTAGGAAACTAAAATATAAAAGCAAAACAAAATGTTCGTCGAATCTAGATGCCCTAGGCAGCCGATTAAGCGCTCTGAACGGGCAACTAGGCGCCCTAGGCAGTCGACTAATTCACCTAGGCGTCTAACCAATTAGTCAGGGCACCTAGACTAAAATTGGGGCGTTCGGCCACCGCCTAGCGCCTAGGCAGGGACTAGTTGGGCGCCTAGAGCGATTTTTAAAACAGTGCCTTCAGCTACATAAAATTGACCTGCATGCAAATTAGAGTTATTAGATGCTCTTTAGAGGCACAGTCGATCATTTCCCGACAAGAAGATGAATATCAGAATGTGAACAAACTTCATTTTTCCAGACTAAAAACTTGCACATAAACTAAAAAATACTATAAGCCCAGTTGATTTTACTATAATCTGAAAGTGTGTCAACAATGAGCAAGCAAATTGTATAAAGTGCATCAGGAATCCACAGTTTGCATAGTGACTGATGAGTGCAATTAGTTCACAAGTACACAGAATGGAGGTCCATCAAAATAATGAAAGAAAGGTACTTTAGCAAATACAACATTGCACCTTGTACTCCTCACAATTGACACAATAAATTCCTTCATAATCAGCTCTGTAAATGTCTCCCTTGGAAAAAAGCTTTGAGTAAAACTCCTTAACTACAGCTTCATGCTTTGGATCAGTTGTTCTGACAAACTTGTCATAACTAATTTCTAACTGAAACAATCAAGTTAAAAAGTGGGCAACCGTGCTGGAAATCAAAACAAAAAGTACAAATGGAATTAAAAAAAACACTACTTGGAAAATTATACATCTCTCCAGAGAGCCTTGTAAGCTTGTGAAACAATATCACAGTGTTCACTTGGAGTCCAACCACGGGCAGCCGCGGCAGTAGCAATTTTTTCCCCATGTTCGTCAGTTCCAGTAGCGAAGATTACCTTCTTCCCCAGAAGCCTCTACAAATTTATTCAAATCATCCAAGTAATACGCCTAGGAAGTAGGCAGGCACATGAAAAAACAAATATAAAATCTCAAACTTTTTTATGTGTTTGGAAAATAAATAGAGAGTGCGACCTGAAAACGGGCAATGGCGTCGGCCGCGATGGTAGTGTATGCACTACCCATGTGAGGAGGGGCGTTCACGTAATAAAGCGGAGTGGTGAGAAAAAAAGTATCCGAGCTTCTGTCGCCATCGTTGGCGTTACAAGTACTATAGAGAGCTCCACCATATCGTCTGGAATTCCAGCATTGATAGGTTTGGCGGACCAAAACTCGACTTCGGAAATAATTCTTCCGGAAATTGATGGAATTGGAGAAAGGGTGTGACAATGGGGGCGAAGATGAAAAGAACCAGAGGCCATTTGGTATCGACAGTTGAGCTTTACAAGCCATTGTCATGATTTGCGAAACCAAATAAGCTTAAACTAGACTTAGGCGGACAGCAACCTAGCAGGGGTAGATAAATCTAATTTCACTAGGTCAATTCAGTTTTTCTAGTCGATCCAACACCATCAATATATCAACTTACCACATTTTTTTTAATTAAATGCATAAATTCTTGGTTATTTTATTACACATCATTTATGTGTTAATTTTATTTTGACCATTGTTTAAAAATGCAAACATTCCGATGTAAAAAAATAAAAAATGTGAATTAATTTTTTTTGTAAGTATTAAAAATGCAACTTGGAATAAATTTAAAACTATTAATTGTTTTCTATATTTCTATATTATTAAGTTTTCATTTTATATAGTATGAACTTGTTTAATATTTCTATATTATTAAGTTTTTCATTTTAGCTACCTCAATTTTTTTAAATGAATCCCCCAGCTGCAAAACAGAATGGCCGAATTGAGTGGAGGCCAATTCCACTCGCACGAAGGTAGCAGCTAACCCACGCAACATGCTCCACTGTTCCTTTTTCTCTACACCTGTCAGGTGTCTTTCCTCCTGTTCACATGTCAGCAAACCCACAAGAGGCAATTGCTATGTTCCTTATACATTGCTCCCCTCTATTCCAGCAACTCCCTTTGAGTCCTCCCTATACATAATTATCTTTCGATTGCAGCAATTTTTAGGGTTTCATCCCTCCCATTGCAATCGGTCTTAGAGCATCTTTAATGGTAATATGGATTATTAAAAAATGCATTACCACGTATGTCAAACGGATGTTGATGTAAAAATAATGTCTCCAAATCTCCAATGCAGATGTCTCACTCTGTACGTGGTGATGAGTTGGAAATTAAAAAACTCACTCTGTGAGGTTGAGCGTGGATTCCTAGAAGGTCTCTTAGGGGGTGTTTGGATTTGATTCTTAAAACTGCTTCTGCTCCTTCAGGGAGCAGAAGCAGAAGTTGGAGTGTTTGGGTAAAAGTGCAGAAGTGATTCTGGTGCTCTAATTTACTCCTAGAATCAGTTTTTTTAGAAGCTGGGGGTGACCAGCTTCTGAAAACTGATTCTGATTCTGCTTTTTCTTTAAAAAAGAAGCAGAATCAGAATCGGTTCCAAACACCCCATTAGACATGCTGACCGGGCAACTAAATCACGGAACACTACTTTAGATAGGCTACGTAAGTTTTTTAACCGTATAAGTAATGAAACATAAAATTATATTTTAAACAATAAAATAAAACTGATAGTCCCATTGGAGAAGAATTTTTAGTTTGCTGGTGTACGAATCCACATCATCACAAGATCCGTTCACGTCCTCTCCATACAAATGATGTGTCCATTTTTTTTATTGTAGAATCCACATGCTCACTGGAGATGCTCTTAGGTTGTCCGCAATCCATCCATGAAAAGCTTTATTTACATTTTTCACACCTAAAAATGCTCCAATCCAGTGTATTGAAGGAGGCTAAAATGGATTGGTGCTAGTGCTACCATGGGAGTGAGAATTAAAGAGACTATTGATGTAGGAGAGAAGCTAGTCGGAGGTACGAATAAATATGAGTGGGCACATTCAAAATATAAACCCCAATTTTATTTAAAGTATTATAACTTTTTTATTTCTTTTTTTATAAATAATATATCAAAATTCATAATTTTTAATTCTCTTTCATATGACACCAATATCACATATATAAATTAAAAAAATAATTGTTAAATATATTTTTTAAGAAAATTAAGATATATTTCAGAAATTTTTTCTTAAAATAACTTTTAAGTGCAAAGTTTAAGATCTGATGACTAAAATATTTTTTTGCATCTTTCAATTTTTTTCTCAATTTTACTTTTTTTAATATCGGAATGTTTGATTTTTTAAATCATAATCATTTGTAAAAAGAAAATTGGAAAATTTTGATGCATAATAATAAAAGTAAGGTTTTAATTAAAAATAATTTATTGAATGGATATATTGACATTGCTGGATTGCAGTAAAAATTGAATTGACTGAATGAATACGTACAAATTGGTGAGAAACTCAATTTATTGACGGAGATGGGTTGCGGTTAGCCTTAGGAATGGAAATTGGTGGAGCTCTACAAAGTCTGAAATAGGAGTTTTTAAGAAAAATACTGTCATTAATTATAATAAATATTGTCATATTAAATACACTATACTGCAAATATTTGGCAGCCACCCCTACAAGATGACAGTAAATGTTGTCATATTAGTCCTGTTTCGGGGGGAAACATAGTGATCCTATTTTGGAATTCCAAACTCCATTTACTTCTATTTTGGGAAATCTTTCTTTATTCTGGTATGGTCTGGTCTGGTCCAGTAAATGATTAGTCTCTGTATATTTTATAACTATTCAAGTCTGGTTTGGTCTAATCTAATCTGGTCTAGTTTAGTCTAGTCTGATCTGGTTAGTCTAGTCTGATCTGGTTAGTCTGATCTGGTCTAGGACTGAAAAATGTTCAAGTAAAAACATCCTAAGAGGGTGTTTGGCCGACTTAGGCTATGTTTGGCTAGAGAAGCTGAAAAGACCTTTTTAAAACTTTTTAGTAATTGTTAGTTTTTTTGAGCTGAAAAGCTTGCATATGGAAAAGTTCGTATCTGTTTTATAAAAGGTGGCTTTTTTAAATAGTCATGTTTGGCAAAACTAACTCTTTTAAGTAGCTGAAATTATAAAATTACAATTAAGGGCATGAACAAATATTACTAGTGACTACCATTCCAAATTAAATTGGCAATATTATTGCGGACTTCCTTCATCTCACTTTATGTGTTAGTATATGTAGCATCACTTGAATTTGTCTCGTGTGCATCCTCTAGCTCTTCATTTAGATCGTGGTCCGAGTTATTTTCAATGAAATTGAAAAGTAAGTCTTCATTGGAGTTCTTCCGAATATAGTTATGCAATGCAAAGGCTGCCACTATCACATCAATTTGTGTATTGATGCTAAATTTTGGCATTCTTTTCAATGGCCTCCATCTCTTCTCAAGTACTCCAAATGATCTCTCAATACAACTCCGGAGTGAAGAGTGTGCACGATTAAAAGCTTCCTAATCATTAGTGGGCAACTCATCCGTCCATACAAAATTTCGACCCTCTTGATTATCATTCTTGGAGTCCATCTATTTGAGTGTGTATAAATATTGTCAAAATGAGTCTTACACGAATAAAATTATAACAACATAAGTTCAAACTAAAAACTAGACTAGATGAAGAACATGTGTAAAAAAATTCATTAAAAATTTCCACCAGGAATGGTCCCAAATTGAAAAACTGAAACAATAATATAGTAACAACTAAATAGCAGATAGAACACATAAAAAGAAAAAGGAGAATAAAACTAGCAAAAATATGTCATAAAATGCTCTTAAAACTAGTATTATTATTGATTAGAGTTCATGTACTATTGGATTATGATTTGGATGTAATGGCTAGAAAGTTTTCTATTTTGATCACTACTTTTTTTGTGTATTGTATATATAGCAGTCCAATGGTACATTTGAAGTCCCCTAGTGTAGTATTTTGCCTCATTTTGACATGTTTAAAACATACACATGCAGGAAAATAGCAAAAATGCATAGCTACAGCTCTGCTTAATAATCAACACGTTGAAGTAAAAACAATAACAAATTGATCAAATTGATCTCTGTTGGAAGTTGTAAAAGTCCAAAACTGCACTTCATTGAAAAAAGATGCATCAACGCAAAAAATACAGGAAAATAGCAAAAGAATAAAGGAAAACTGGCACAACAACACTGCAGGAAAAGTTGCATCAAAGCAATTGCAGAAAACTACAAAAAAATTGCATAAAATATGCTCAAAACAATTTTACACCTGCTACAAACTGCAACAACATAAGCAATGCACAAAAACTGTTGAAAACTGCTCAAAAGCTGCTGAAAAACGGTTTTACACCTGCTGGAAACTGCAACAACATAAGCAATGCACAAAAACTGATGAAAAGTGCTCAAAAGCTGCTGAAAACTGCAGCTAATTCCTTCAAGTGAAAAATGTAGTAAAGACCAATATATGATGGGAAAGATCTCATAATTTAGAACATTTTGATTTTCATTCTAATGTCTCTGCCTAATGAATAAGAAGAGCTAAATATTTAGAGAAAGATCATCAAAAAATCGTATCGCAAATGAATGGATTCCTAAACTGCTAGCTGCTGCCATGTAGTATCAAATGAAAGATGCCTAAAAGCATCTATGGAATAAAATCAACAACTCCACAATATCCTTAACAACTCTCCATAGAATATTACAAATAACCACATAGATAGATAGATAGATGTCTCTTACACAGACTCATTATTTATTCATAAATTTCAGAAAATATAAAAAATACATATCAGAAAGAATACACATCAAAGTATTTCAATCAAGAAAATCAAAAGGAAATAAATTTCAGCAAAATTTGAAATCTTCATTACGACAAGCTGCCTAAAAAATTAAAAACAGGAAAAAATCTCTATAAAAATAGTAAAAGCAAACAAAGAAAGAGATTAATACTCTGTACAATCGTTCTTTAACTCAAGTTACTCCTACTCTTTTCATAATCAATTCCTACGATTAAGCTTTTTTTTTTAATTTCATTTATTAATCTTGTAACCAAAGTATTGTAGTTCAACAAAAAACAGAGTATCCAATTCCTATTACTAGGCTCTCTTTCATAAGTTTTACTCAAATGAAATTTAAAAAAAAATCAAAGAACACATGGGCTAAGAATAGAGATTGATGAAAGAGTTTGAAAAACATAATCAGAATGGAGGAGAAGTGGAGAAGAATACCTGCAGATTCCTGTGAAGAACAGAGAAAAAATGTGTTGAAGAGGAAGAAGAGTTATGCGCAAGGTTTTGAGAAGTTATGCGCAGGTTTTTTTAAGTTATGCCCAGGGTTATGCGGAGGAAAGGAAAGAATTTGAAAAGGTGTTTTCTATTGAACGCTACCTTACGTAGCATCTCATAAAAGACCCAAAAAGACCTAGACTTCTCAAAAAAGCTATTGGGCCAAACACAAAACTAGAGTCTTTTAAGATCTTTTTAAATAATAGAGAAGCTAGAAGCTATT